TCAAACTATTGGTTGTTTTCTAACAGTGGAGTAAATATGTTTATTTAAGTCTTACTGTGTAAGTTCTATAAGAAGAGGATGTATGATTCATTTCCTATTGTGACAATTGCGATTGCCTCGCTGTTTTTTTTTTTGTTTTGTTTTGCAAATATTTCTATACTCTTACTCTTTGGTTTTTATTGTCTGAAGTTTTGAGAGGAAGTATTTTATTTTTATAATATTCCATATTTTCCCGACATTTGTCTTCACCTTTCTTGTTTGATGCTTTTGATTAATAAAATCTTTTAGACTTATATTGGTCTTGTTCTGGAGTTCTCAGGTGAAAAAGGCTTTCTTTACTTGACATTCCCTGTTTTCTGATTATTGCCTTAATTTCGGAAAATCAGGTATTTTGCGTCTTCTAATGATGCAGTATGCATTTTGATTTGAGGAAGACCTCCAAAGAATATATCGGCTGAAATATTTTGTTAAATAAATGCAACAAAATATGAAGACTGTGTAATCCGAAGAATAAGGTCCTTAATTTACTTGCCCATATTACTTCTCATTCGTTGTTGAATTTGAACATGTGAACAATGTTACTAAAATGTTGGTAACATTTTTAAACCCATGAATTGGTTTAATTTCTATATTTAAAATATAATTTTAGTTAGATTTTATTATAAAAAAAATTGTTTTTAAAAAATGAGCAAATATGTAGGCAAAAAGTTAATTTATTTTATTATAGTTTTTTTGGAACGTTTGGCGCACGGGAACGCACACGACAGGAAAAATAATTTATAAGCTAGTAGAAATTGTTTTTTTGTTTGACTATAAGTTAAGTCTTTAATTTTTCTCTATCTCTATCTCTATCTATCTATCTATCTATATATATATATATATATATATATATATATATATATATATATATATATATATATATGGCATTCCTTACTTGAATTGACACTTATTTATTTTCGCGATAAACTTTTTTTTGTTAATTTTTCATATTGATGTTTCTTTTTCTTATTTTTTGTTGACATACCAACTTTGATTCATGCAAAATTTGAAAACTGTTTTGTTTAGTAACAAAAAGTGTAGTGTGTTTGTTAACTGCATTTTCTTTTCATTTTTTAAATAATTGGCTAACTTTTTTGGGGTGTTTTTTTTTTAATTAACACATGACTAATTAAACACTTGTTGCTACTTACAGCATCATCTTACTTATTCTTATTCTTTTACATTTAACTTTAACTGTAATTTGTAATTTGGAAGTAAATGAGTGATTAATGTTTACGCACACTAAGCTTAATAATTTTCTTATATACTCTTTAGTTTTTTGTTGTTTGCTGAATTTAAGTGGAAAGTCGCAAGAAATGGTAAGCAAATTTATTATAATTGAGAGAAAAAAAACGATTGGATTCGCTTGCATAGTTTGCTAGGGTGAGTGTTGAACTGATTTTCATGTGAAATAAATACGCACACAAGTCACTAAAAGAACTATCGGGATTTCTGAGAATGATCCTTTAAGGTACATTTACCACACACATCTCAGTTGGAAGGGTCGCCAGTCCCGGCATCCACTAGAAATGTAAGCTAAAGTATTTATTTTTTTAATGTTTTTTATTTTTATTTTTTTTAACATTTAATTAAGATAAGAACCTCCTAAATAAAAACTTAAAACTGACCTTGGAAACTATGGTAAGTAATTTGTTTTAAATGGAAATTTCAAATATTAATTATCAAGATAGTTTATTATTGCATCTAACTACAATTTTAAATTAATCATAGAATGGCTTTGTTTAATTTGAAAAAAAGTTCTATTTATTTATTTTTTGAAACAACAAAAACTTAAGTTTGAGATTTGGATTTTTTTAAAAATCCTTATTCTTCTTAATAAATTTTTCAGTAATCTCTAAGTAGCATACTTGTATATAAAACCGACCTTTAAGATCAATTTTTAAGTGAAACATTGTCAGACGATTTAAAGAACACTTTCGTTAGGTTTGTCAAAATCTGTGCACGAAACTGGAAAAGAACGAGGAACATCTTTTTAAAAATGATCCAGATATGAAACACGTTATTCACAAGTTACAAAGGAAAAAAAAAAAGAAGTGATTTAAATAAAAAATAGATGACTCAATAAATGGAAATCATTGCAAAAAGTTCCTTCCTTTTGTTTTGTGACGAATATGATTTTTAGATTGCGTTTTAGGATTTTAGAAGGAATTTTAATTAGGGGCTTCTTCCAATTTATTTTATGTCATTTTGGCGTTTTTCTAGTCCAATTTGTTTGACGTGCTGAAAAATATAAGTCTGATGTGTATATAAATCATTTTTTTGGGGTGGGGGACCCAAATCGGGGAGTGAACTACTACAGAAAACCGCGACAAGAATTTATTTTGTTGCAGTTAAAGTCGATAACAAAACTCCCAGAATAATATTGAAAATTTAATAATTAAAATAGCTAACGTGTAGAAATGTTAAAAAAAAGCACATACATAAAAATGCCACAGGAAAAAAAAATTATCAATATATAAGTGAAGTCAAAACCGCAGGCTTCAGCAAAAGGCCAAGGTAAAATTTTAAAAAGTTTCAACTTTCAACCAATATTTGTTGGTTTGAGTCAATGAAAAAAACAAAAAAACTTCGAATATGTATCCCCTAAAAACAGATAAATACGTGACTTTGCAACAGGTCGTAGAGAGTCAAATAAAAACAAAAAAAATCAGTTCATCTACACGACTCTACACCAAACAACTTTTTTTATGTAAAAAGAGAAGCGTCTAAAGATCAAAACTCACACTTCATGACAACTTCTCTCGCTTGTACTTAAACTAGAAGTTACGATAAACAAACAGTTAGGTAGGTACCTCTAAAAAAAGCGATACCTAAGGTTTAAAAAAATGCATTTTAAAAATGAAAACTTTTTTCTTGAAGCTTTTATTTTAGTTCTATTTCCAAGCTAACAGATTAAATTTAATATTTCCAATAAGCAAAATACTTTGCTATATTTAAATTGATTGGAATGATTTTTTAAAATTGCTAAAATCGGCCATATTGACAAGTCTGTCAATACAACATAATTCTCTTTATTAAAAAATCTTTCAGAAATAAAATATACTTTTTTGAAACTTTATTTGAAGAAGATTAATTGATTTAAAATTTAATTAATCTGAATTAAAACAAATATTAGATTACTTACTTCCAGTTTAAAATATCGCAGAAAAGCATTTTTTTTAACACGGATGTGGGTGTTTCTATGAGGTGCTGACATATCGATGACCTGACGATTGCAGCATTTAGATAAGGGGGGAAATAATTTGAAACTACACAGTAATCTTAAAACTTTTAAAATATTTTATTGAATTTTAGGTACTTTACTTTATAGTCTTACTTACGAAAACGCTTGTTCAGGAAATGCTAGAAAATTACCTATAAATTTTAAATTTACTATAGTTACTGCTCTTATTTTTTGATAATGTCGTGTATGGCAGTCCATATTTATAAAAATCGGCACGTTTATACACACACAAAAAATTCAAAACTCTTTTTTAAATACTGGGGATCGCTGAATTGTAGTAAGAATTTCTATTTATGATTAGTGCATATCGTTTTTACTTAATGGAAATATCGCCTAACCGCTACAAATTAATACAGAATTTTAAAATATTTTAAACCCTATAAATGAAAACAATTCTTAAAGAAATTTATTATTCATCGAAAAAATATTTTTCATAAAAGCAATTAAAAGTTTTTCTAATTAAATAATGTCTTAGTTTTATTGTATTTTTTATTTTACGATTCAGAGCAAATTTTCTGTAACTGGCGGTCTTGTTTGAGAAAAAAATGTTTATGATCCACGTGAATAAGTCTTAGTTTTCTTAAAATTTGACAATTTATCTGATTTTTGCAAGAATTTCTAAATCAATGTTTTCAACTGCAAAAAAAACAAAAAAAAAAAACATACAAAACAAAAATACGCTCAAATTTCCTATTTATGGTCATCTGTTGACGCAAGAAAAACAAAATTTTTAACCAAAATATTGTAGGTTCTAAAAAGTATTAAAAAATATAATTTAATAATCAGAAACTCCTTTTGTTTTTCCTCTTAATAACAACAAAGATTTTAACGATGAAACTGTTTTTTTTTTTTTTTTATCAAATTTGGGTCATTTTTTTCATCATCTATGCTCATTTTTTAGCGAATCTTTGGAAGTACCAAAATAAAATGTATGAACTTTCTTCATATCAGACACATGTCTATTTCTACAAACATTTCATGAAAATATATACTTCAACAAAGGTCAAATTATCCACACCTGTACACATAAAGACTTTGTTGTAAAATATGAATAAACTGCAATTTAAAATTTTTACCACTATTATTGGAAGTTTATTTTTAATATATTGATTGCGACTAATTATTAACGCTGGCATGTCCTTTTTGGTGACTTGTCAAATGAATTTACCAGTACAGTTCTTTTTTTTAAACAAAGCTTTACATCCAATTTAATTTTCCTGCTATATAAGAAGAATAAGAAAAGGAAGTATGATCTATATTTGTAACGTGTGAAATGGACTCGAAAGTCTTATTAAAGAAAATTTTATATATATATATATATATATATATATATATATGAAAATGATATATATATATACTTATTTTCATATATACAAAGAACAATTTATGAAAATCTATGACAAAGTGGAAAAAGTTTTCGCGTCACGCGTTTCGTCCTTCACAAACATCAATTTAGTTAGAGTAGACTGATGAAGTCAGAAAGGACAAAACGCGTCACACGAAAACTTTTTCGACTTTGTCATATATATATATATATATAGAGAGAGAGAGTATTCATTCGATTACATAGATAACATCTCGGCATCATAATTACGCATATGCTGGTGTTGCCCGCTCGTGGGCTCTGTAAATGTCTCTTGAAACAAGAATGGCTTTAAAAACAACATTCCATTGCTGTCAAAATTTTTTGTCCCGTGTTTTCATGATTGATATAATGATGTACTTTCCCATGCCCGGTGGAAGTAGTCTTGTTCTTTAGTTCTTACATTGTTTCTGGCATAAAGGTAGAGATCAAGTCCTCCTGTTAACAGTAATATATTCAATCTGATGTCCCTGCACATAACTCTTGATGTGACTTTTTAGTCTAGCTTTGTGATAAGCAGACACACACACACATCTATCTATCTATCTATCTATCTATCCACAAGTTACAGTGTAGAGATAGATAGATAGATTAAAAAAGTTACCTTGAGCCACATTTTGTATTAACTGAATACAAAATGTGGCTCAAGGTAACTTTTTTCCCATTTTTCCGCAAACATCGGGGCGTAACTCTGACTTTTCTCCGTCTTCTAGTTTCCCGGTGGATTCTAAATTCCAATTACCTTTGGTTAATCCGAAAGAATTTAATTTCGATAGATTTTTTTTTATATTTCAATTCAAACACAAGCTCAAAATGATAAAGTGAAATTAATTCATTTTGTTGTTATATACACGGTTTAGTTTATTGTGAAAAATCATTTTTTTTTCAGATAAAAAAATAAAGTGTATTTTAAGGACGTTACTATTATTTTTCAAGCTTAGCATAGTCTGGCACAAGGTCAGAAATGTGGGACACATCAATGAGAGTCGAACTTTCTTCAGTCGTAATGGTCAGCTCATTAAGCTTGCTAGCCTTGATTCACAGCGAAGTGTCACCCAAAGAAGTAATTTTCAAAAATGTTCGTAAATTCGTCGTAACAGGGGGGACTACTCAAGACAAACGACACTTTATAAAGGACAGAATGATCAAAGAGAAATGAACAAATTTGGTGGAAATAAACTAAGTTTTTAAAAATTTTTGATTAAACATAATTATTGGATTTTTTAATTGGATAAAAATTTTACTGTCATCCTAGTTAAAGTTTATTAAGTACGATGGTTTTAGATTAATTCTTTGAAATAATGAGAATTAATTCAATAAGTGATGATGAGTGACTGGAAAACCAAGTAATTATATGGATTCTTTTGAGCCAGTTTTCCCATATTTGTTGCTTTTAACATGTCGTCTGTTGTACTCTTTCCTTCCTTAAACTACAACAGCCAAAAAGTTGCAAATTGGTCCCCGAAAAAAAAATTACACTGTTGATTGGATCTTCACGATTAGCATAAGTTTAGTTTACATGTTGGTTCTAAAAAAAAAAAAAAAACATTATCAGTTGATTTTTAAGATGTTTTAAAAACTGTAAGATAATAAAATAAGAAATAAAGGATTTATGAAAAAAAGATAAAGAAGCTAAAAAAAAAATGCCGCACTCATAAAAACATCGTTCTGATTTACTAAGTATAACAATAATTCAATAATAATGCCAATGGCTAAAAAATAACACTAACAGTATGTGATTGGAAAGCCCTTTTGCTGTTAGTGTTTATTTTAATAATTTTCCTGTACTTGTTATCAATTCTCAAAGTTAGTAAAGCGCTGTTCAGGTCAGTTCCGCTCTGGTCATTGTTTTAGTTAAGTTTCACTTTTTAGTTTGATTGCTGTACCATACATGCGGCTTTTTAAATTAACACTAACTAATCTAAGTTCAATAAATCATAAATGAATAAATATTTAAAAAGTAGAAACTAAAAAATGCAAAAAAATAAAATACTTTTTAGTTAGTATTTGGAAAGAAGGTGCGGTTTCTGTAAATTCCCTTTATTTTTTCTTTTTTTTTTTTGGCTTTTGTAATGACTGATAACCGTTTTTAAACTGGAAGGAAGTTCACCAGCTCTTCTTCAAATTACTATTTTTTTTAATATAAAATGATTATTTTCTCCGCTTGCGAAAAGCAAAACAAAATATACCTGAAATATACCTACAACAGTTTTTACTCCACTTCTCAGTAGTAAATCATATCTGCCTTTATTCGTTTATATTTTTAAATCAAATCAACAAAAAAAAAAGCAAAGAAAAAAAAAGTGTTGATTAAAGTACTTGCGACTAAAACTATATTGATTGATTGAGAATCGACACTGAATGAGTAGGGTTTGTTTTAAAACCCTTACTACCCATGAACCCTTTTTCTTTTCTTTTTTAATCATTATTCCTATTGTTTCCCTCTCCAAACCAACTCTTTGTTTGTATTCTTTCTAACAATGTTGTCCAGAATTGCATATAACCACTTCCAATATTGTACATTTCAGAATTTTCATTTTTTAGTATCCGCAGCAGATGCTGTTATTCCAAGTAAGAAAGGACGTCTGTTATTTTAACTGCACAGGATACACACCCACTTCAGAACCACTGAGAGATCAGCTCCCATTATTGGGGCTCTCCTTTTTTACTTTTCCAGGTTCGATTCCTAAGCACGTTTTGCATTTTTTTTTTTTGATTTTTTTTTTAATATCAGTTCTTTAATACAACCGTGTTTAGCGGGTCCGTAAAAGATGTGGGGATAGATTACCAATGTTGAATTTTAGTTTTGCCATCATCGATGAAGGAAAGACGTGTCGGAGGAGACACACCACATCACACTGAGAGGGAGAGACACAACTGCCAGTCCTACTGCCAACTACTACTGCCAGTCCTGCTGCTGCTGCTGCTGCCGTGGCCACAACCATCCATCCATCCATCCATCCAACACTGCTCCTGCGGCCTGCTCTTTCCATCTTTTCTTTCTTTTCCGTCATCATCGTCGTCGTCGTCGTCATCATCGCCGTCTTCTTACTCTCCACCGATGTGCTTCTGAATAGAAGTAAGATGAGCAATTAAGAGGAGCGTTCTGATTGGCTAATCAGCTGACATATATGCATGTCAATTACAACGCAGCTAGGTTATTATTAAGCAACATCACATGTTGACGGCAGCTTGTTTTATTATTGTTGCTGAACTTGCCAATGTTCTCTCCTCATGCTTACAGGGAGTACACTTTCCATGGATTTACTTTTACTGGTGGTAGCTGCGATGTTGATTTCTGTTCTTGGTGCTTCCACATCACACGATGACGCGGCTATGTGGAGAAACATCTCAAGTAAGTCCAGAACTGTGCGTCAATAAAATAAAATTACTTTTTCTTTTATTAATAATAAAGGAAAAAAAAAAATTCCTTTAAATTCTCATACTTGACCACCCGCCTCTAATTTGAGATCATGGTAGATTACAATTTTCACTATCTAAAAAAAAAAAAAAATAAAAAAAAAAACCCAAAAAAGAATAAACAAAACAAAAAACGAAAAACAAAAAAAGGATAAAGAAAAGAAACTTGTTTTTAGAGTGGATTTTTTTATGTTTTACCTTATTAATAACGGCAAAGTTTAAGACTTAGCACTTGTCTTTTTTTGATTGGGAAATCCCTTTCGCCAGTTGCCAGTTAAAACTCTCGTGTACTTTTTAGATGTGAAATTAATCACGTTTAAAATTTAATTATTTAATCTATTAATCAATCTGTCAGTTTCTGAATAGTATCCCCCCCACCCTGTTTGTTAAAAAGAAATCAAGTCGAGCGAATCTTTTCCCACTGTTTATGTTCTGACCGTCTGTCTATTCATTTTTACTTTCAATTTCACTAACGTTTTTCTATACACACAACGACGGCACAATGCCGACGATTTTTAGCTGTGCGCCACTCTTCTCTGCTTCTAAACACGATATTTTCCACGCATCTCTATATTTTGGCATTGACTCTAAATTTTCAATTCCTCGTGTCCAAGCGAATTCTTCCCTTTTTTTTTTTCTCATCAATGATTGTCCATTTCGGTACAATATCGTATTTTTCATATCTTTCGCTCGATAAAGTAAAAATATATTGTATTTTTAAATATCTTTCTTTATGAAGGCTAGTTTAATATTAATAATCCACACTGTTAATATGTACACACACAAAAGGATAAAGTCCACATCTTTCTTAATAATTATCAACATTTCTACATTTTCATTCTTCTTCCTACCTGTTTTGGGGAGAGAGGGAGAGAGAGAAAAAGTAAAAACGAAGCGAGGTTCTATTTAGTTCGCATTATTTTCTCATTATTCTGTTTTTATTTTATTAAAAAAACAAACAAACGATAGATTTTTTTTTTCTTCCCCGTAATATTTTCTATTCTGATCTTCTCTCGCGTGCAAAACTATCACTTCTTCTTCCATCTTCATACAAGTGGTATGCAATTTGTTTTTTAGTAATCTTTTTGTAAATTAAAAATTAAAATCGAAGTCTTTTTTTTCTTTTTTTTTTTTTAAAAAAAAAAAGTATTTTCCCACCTTATTTGGTACCTGTGCGGTGTGTATTCAAAGTACTATCAGCAAACTCGAAAATGAATTATTTTCAGAGGGTATAATGGACAAAATATTCCTGAGGAAAGAAACGGTATTCAATATTCATCATGCTTCCTTTATAGCATGACTTTGCACGCACGCACGCACCGTACACGAGGCAAGAGGCGTGTTTTAGTAGTTACTAGTTATTTGATTACAACCCAAACATATTAGTAGTTCATTAATAAGTAATTAAAAATAAATTAGATTGTTGTCGCAGAATTAAAGTACTTTCTAACTTAAAATTAGACGAGAATAATTTTTTTTAACTTGTTTTCCTCTAGGTTTTGATTTTTAAATAAACGCTGTTTCTCCGACTCCGTGAACTTGCTCATTTTTTTTCCCAGTAAGTGGTTGTTGTAATTGTACATAGACACACACAAAAAAAGAAAAGAAAATCAAATAAGTGACATTAATTACGGGTTTTTCTTAAGTTTTATATACTGATCGTTAAAAAAGTAATAAATTAGAAATAATCTAAATTCCGAAAACAAAAGAAGCCAAGTTTAGTTTATTAATTAAAACCACAAGTCAAGAAAGGATGTCAATGTTTTAATTAATTTTTAAAGTTGGAGAAGTGTAAAACGAAATTATTTTATGATCCTAAGATTTTATTCGGAAGTCACTAAAAGTAAAATGTACTTTTTGAGCCGATCGTTTCAGTCCAAATTAACTTTTAATAATCGATTTCTTTACGCAAAAAAAATTTCTGTCATTTGTATTTTTAAGGTAAATGTGCACACATTTCATTTCCATAAAGAAAATGAATAAATAAAAAAAAAAGAAAAACCCCAAAACAAAAGAAAAACAGATTTTTAGACGTAGTACTTTACTTTGGTATCGATTTAAAAACATATTTTTATTTTTTAGTATTATTCGCGTAAAAAGATATCGTATAGCAATTTGGTAAATGTTGTCATGACTTTTATTTTTTTTACATTCACTTCGATTCAGTGACTTTTCTATCACTACTTTTCCACCTATTTCCATTTCCATCTGATTAAATATCGCCCCTACCACTTCCCTAAACCAAGTATTTATTCGAGTAATAATATCCTTTTTTATGTTTTGTTTAGTTTAGTAATAATTCTGTTTTAGTCTTTTTAAAAAGGGGTCTTTCTTTGTCAAGATAGAATTTTTAATTTCGACACAATCTTCTTAAGATTACCAGACCTTCTAAACGTAACGACAACGCTAACTTATCCTTGTATAATATTTGTTAGGCAAACAGAGAAAGAAAGGATCTTCTTCAGTCTTCTTCATCCTTGATCATGATCACATCTCTCTTTTGTACAATGTGTTGTGCAGTTTCGATTTGTTTCTGCACTGGAAATTGTGAAAAACTGTAAATTCCTCTTGCTGTATTCTACACAATCTTCTTTTTTTTTTTTCAATTTTAAAAACAATATTGACACCTGATTATAGCAAAAATCCTTCCTGCCTTTTATGCGTGTGTGTGAATGTGATCGATGAGAAAAAGTACAGAGAATTTAGAATTAACATCGCTGGTCGAAACTACTATTGTTTCTTGTACATACTACATACCTTGTATTTTTTAGCGTGAGGATAAGTAAATGATCTTTGTTTTATGGATATTTATTTTTGAAAAAAGAAATCAATTTTATTATTATTTGATTACGCTAAAAAACATTACTTGGCTGAAAAAAAAAAAGTGTGAAAGCGTGTGCTAGTAAATAAAAATGGAATGTTTTTAGAACACGCTTTTTTAGGGAGTAGGGAGAAAAAAAAGCTAAGAAAACTCCAACCACGAACACTAACAGTTTTATGTAAAAATCTATGTGTACGTGTGTTTGTGTGTATTTTCCTTTTGCGACAAGAAAAAATCTTCGAAAGTGCATAGGTTTTATCATAAATATTCTCTTTCTCTTCACAGTGCTTCTTGGCATCGCGGCGATGCGTTTGTGCACGCGCCTCTCACACTGATGTTGAAACTGCTATGCCATCACTGGTATGAAATATACGATGATAAAAGTGACATCCCCCCTCATTTCCCCCTTCCTCCTTTATACAACAACGCATCAGAGATTTTTAGGGGCAATCAGGCCACATATTTTAATTCTTTAAAATCAACATTTTTCTAAATGCTTAGAATTGGGAAGAAGTTAAAGCTACCTTTTTATTCACTTCTTTCTCAACCCGTAGCTTTTTTTTTTTTTTCTTTTTTTTTGTATCTTTATCCCTTCCTCCTGTTAAGTGTTTTCAGGATTGCGTTTTAATTATTCTTTGATCCATTTTCCATAATCTACATTTTAAATTCCAGAGCTCTATCCTTTTGGTAGTTAAGGGAACAAAGCGTTTTCTGCTTTCGTCCAAATTGTTTTGTCTGTTGTTTGATTCTCTATTTCGAGTTTTTGATCCATTTTTAAACACTCGTTTTCTTTTTTCATAGCCCTTATTTTCATCTTCTCTTGTCACATATAGAACCTCTTTTAAAATAAATATATGTTCAATGTCCATAATTATTAGTAAGAAAAAATTCCGAAAAAACAACTGCTTTCTACTCACAAAGGTATTTATTATTCAATTCAACTAAGTAGTTTTATTCTCTAATTAAGTCTACTAGTAAAAGAAAATTAATAAACTACTACCGACCAGGTATGATTGAAGGAAGCTGAAGCAGTCTAGTTGGTTGGTTTGTCAATCGTTGTTTTAGAAACTATAGCAGGTAACGAAAAATCGAACGGAGCAGATATTATTCCATTCATTTGTGCAATAATGTTGTTGTAGCAACAGCGGTACAGTGCATAAATCTTTCCTTTTCATTCAATGATTGAGTCATATTTTAATCGTATGCCCATTAAAATTGCTACACATGCAACATTATGAACCCGTTGCTATTTCATTAACTTATTGTCATTTAACACTTTAAAGCAGAATCATAAAGTAAATCGTGAAAACAAAAGTGCAAATCATGCGAATTCTTAGGTCAGAAAGCTAAACAACTGTACTTTTGCTAGCGATTTTGTTAAAAAGTAAACTTTTAATTTATTTTAGTCTTTATTTAATTTCGTAAATAAAAAACAAACAAAACTTATTTACCGTATTCTCATTTCCTTCCTTTTCAAAGAAAAAAGTACTTAAACCAACAAATTGAGTATTCAATTAAAAAACATCTTTTGATTACTATCCTTTTTGACTTTTTTGAGGAATTAGAATTGATTTTGTTTTTGAATGTACATTTTCTGTCGATTCTAAGTCTTTGATCGGACTCGAATTCGGAAAACTAGTAATTAATTTATCCGATAAATTTTTGACATTTCGTCTTTCTTTTTCCGATTGAATCTCAAAGTTAGTTTATTTACCTTGGTTATTCAGAAATAAAAAGAGATGTGGGATGGAATCAAAATCCTAAAAAAATATCAAGGTGAGGTGTCTGTGACACCCTTTTTTTTCAACAGCAACTAATAAATAAATTTCTTCAAATAAATTATTACTCTTTTTTTTTTTTTTTTACTATTCTTTTTTTAATGACAAAATACTATTTTTGTAATGTGTGGACGGGGATGGGAGAGATAGCGCTCACTTGTCAACAAAAATTTGTTTTATAAAAACGTAATGAATGAAACTACCTTTTTTTTGCAGGTGACGTTTTATTTGATGTCGACTTACACTAGTAGTTAACTTGAAATAGATTTCAATTACTTGACCACTTTCATTAATGGTGTTTGTGAAAGGAAGCCATTTATTGACACATACCTTTTGACAATAAATAAATAAATAAAAATTAAAAAAATCAGAAAACTAGTCGAAGTCGTTGTCTTTGCTTAAAGTTTAAGTCTGATCATGATTGTGTTCTTTCTTTTAGAAATTTTTGCGTGTTATTGTTACGATGCTCTTTTACCGAAGATGAAGTATCAAAAATTATTTTGTCTGTAAAATTAAAAGGTTAAAGGTCTGTATAAAGAGAAGAATGAGAACACAGACCAAAGTGAGAGGAGTGGGAAGGCGGGAAACTCATACACATGTCAGTTTCTTGTGATATCTACCCCCTCCTTCCCTTTTACGGACCATTCTACTTTGACTTTAAGCTTGACATGTGCGTCTTTCCGAAGAAACGTCTTGTATTTTGGGGCGATCGGCATAATTCCTTTCAACTCGCCTTACAATTAGTCGCAAGAAAATTGTAAAAACTCATTTACAGAAAATTGTTGAAATTCTTACTATTTGTTAGGGGAAAATAAAGAAATAAAATTATTTGTCTTTTTTTGTTGTTGAATTAATCATAATGTTTTAAAACGAGTAACGACTAAAAAAAATAATAACAGTGAGTAACACTAAGTAAATAACAGTATTCATTCATTCGACACAAACAAATAATTTTATGTTAGAAATATAATGAATGATTTTCTCTAGTTAATTTCATCTTCCAATCTCGAAATTCTAAATTTAATAAAAAATAAAATAAAAAAATCCTATTCTTCATCATATCAATTATGAACTTAGAGACACAGCGTCTCCACTTCCATAGTCTATTGATCAAAGATAATAATATTTTGATTACATTCTTTCTAATTTATCACTGTAATTTCCATCGATATTGTCATTTTGCAGTAAGAATTCATTTTCGTTCTGAAAATATTTTCAATAAAGTGTGTGTGTGTAATGGCCAACGTCATTCTCGCAAATCACTTGACAAACAAAGCCCTCTGTAATGATTATCGAGAATAAATTTTTATTTTTTTTACAAGCATTCAAAACTCGTAATATACTTTCTCAGTAAGCAAGTAATAAATCCATTAATGCTTGCAGTCGAATGACAAAAAAAGAAAAGTTCGCTGATATACTACGAAAACGAACATTTTAAAAATCCCAAACTTCATTGTTTTAAAAATTCATTATAATAATCAATTCTTAACCCTAGTTAATTAATAATTAAATTGATTATCTCACTCAACAAAAAGAGTGAACGTGTGTATTATACATACACACACATCAAACAATAATTCAAGCTTAGAAAACGTGCTTCCAATGTAGAATCATTATTTAGTTTTTAACATTTTATTTTGTGTGTGTGTAGTGATTTTTCTGAGTTAATCTTTGCGATTTTTTCTCGTTTACATGGCATCTTTTTACGAGAACTGAAATGTGTAAAAAAAAAATCACTTAGGACTGCTAATCATAATGGCTAATGCTGAAAAAATAAAATAAAACGGAAAAGTAGAATCAAATGTAAAATATTAGTATTATTAATTAATTAATGACACACTAACTTTTTAAAAAAAATTTTATTCTATTTCTGGTTGCAGCTTTAAAATCTGCCACCTTCCAACAAATTAACTTTTTAAAATTTTATTTAAAATAAATATTTTCAAAAATAATTTAAGAACACGCACAACACACTCTATCCCGAATATTGAGCACTACCCATATAGCATACCTTAAAACTGTATATATATATATATATATATATATATATATATATATTATTGGTTATCCTTTGGTAATGCTAAATAGAAGGTAAGCATGAATTATTATTTTTTGAAGACTTTTGGTGATACTATTGCAGATCAGAACAATAGAAGTGCATTACAATTTTTTCCCTTTGGAATTTTAAGAAAGCTTGATCTACACAGAAAAGACAATCAAATAATCTGTACTGGGAACAGGCAGCTTAAATGTGGATAAAGAATGAGTTTAGTGAATATACATCTATAGAAGAGTACAACTAAGGTCTGTTTTATCACCAGATTTATTTAACCTCAACATTGAGTGGATTATAAGATGACTATCAGAGGCTATCATCATAACTGCATATATTGTACAGATGACACTAAGTTGATAGCAGAAAAGACTAACCAATAACTAAGAAAACAGGGTTGTCAGCAAAAAGGGACAAAATTAATGTTGCGTATCTTGGGAGTGTGTAAAAATCAGGCAGGTGTGGAGATGTTACAGCCAAAGGAATGTGTGACAGAAATCTGAAGCTGTATAAAAATTGTGAAAGAAGCATCCTTAGAAACGAAGGAAAGAGTGCTGGGGTGTTATATAATGTCTATTCTCCTATCTGGTAGTAAATGCTGAACAATTCCCTCAAAGATGAAGAAAAAATTTGAAGTGACAGAGATGTGGTTCTACTGATGAATGTTGATAATACCATAGAGAGAGTGTATATTTAAAGAGAATAGTAAGTGGAAAAATCTGCTGTTAATAATTAGAGACAGCTGAAATATTTGGAACACAATGAGGAAAGAAGACTTGAAGAATTTAACACTCACAGGATAAACTGAAGGCAAGAGAAGCAAAGGTAGAAAGCAGTAAGATATAATTTAACAAACATTTGATGAATTTGATTTAATGGATGGTGGAACAAGCACCACTATAATAAAAACTAGTCATAAAGGTACAAGTATTATAGAACAACAAAAGGCATGAAGTTGTGGAGAGCCGTGATTACCCACATCCTGAAGAGACCGGTATTATTTTCATTTTATAGATGTCACAAAATGTAGTAAATAACATATTTTAGTTAATTGGTGTTTTTAAGTTTTTGAATTTTTTTTGGTCTTGTATAAGTGAATTGTTTATAAGTATGTGAAGAACAATTCAAGCTTTATTCGGACAACTGAATTCACTTTTTGGCGTTATTGGTGTTGTTACTACAGCATTTCAACCAATCCATTCTACAGCTTTCAAGTGTATAATTTCTAAAAAAAACAGCCTAAAAAGATAACTGTGAATGAATATGCTTTTAATTTTCTCATTAGTCAAGTTTTTTAAACAGTCCTAATGCAGATTTTTTTTATATATATATATATATATATATATATATATATATATATATATATATATATATATATATAAATTAAAGAAAAGCTTTGTATATTTAACAGGAAAATCCCTTCAATTACAACATTTAAAATATTCCATTGTTTTTTTTAACTAGATCTTAAAACAACATAATTTTCGCTCTTCTAAATCTATAATTCATTAGTAAAAGATAAAAATTATTCTTGTAAAATCCTGTGAGATGTAAAAAATAATTTCTTTGATGCAGATATTTCATGACTTAGTTTTGCAATTGAGAAAAAGAAATATTTCAGTTGTAATTCATAAAACTGGGAAAAAATGTTTTTTAAAAGTTGCATCAAGTCATTTTGATAAAAATATTTATATTTTAATACAAATTATTCAGAGAAAATCTGTATCTCATATTGCAGAATTAACTCTTTTTCTTTCTTTGTTTTTTTTAAGTCGAAGATGAACAAGAGTTCTTCTCCATACTGACCTACATCTTTGTATTTTCTGCTAAATCATCATATTTAAGCTTTAAGTATTATAAAGTATTAAAATAAATAGTATATAAAAAGCATCGGAACCAGTGTATTTGTTGCATGACATGAGTGATAAAGTAAACAATGTTAAACAATTGTTAGCCATTTTTTTTATGAGGGACGGGGTGGGGGCGATATTCTGATCAAAAAGACTTGAAAAAAAAAACCTCATGTTTGATCATTTAGTCAGATTTTGAAAAGCAGATTGGAATGAGCACTCTTCAACACTCCTGTAACATTTGTTATAATAAAGCTTATAGTCAAGAGAAAATCTTTGAACTGCTGATTTAAAAAAAATTTCATGATACTATATTTTTTTTTCTTTTTAGTCAATTAAGTCTGGTTCAGGAATATACTAAAACTAAAGTGTTATTAAAATTTAAAAAAAAATATTTTTTACTTCTATTTATTTATTTATCTTTTTTTTTTTTGCTAAACATAATTTTGTTAAAATTAATCTTTTAAAAATATTTTGTTCAGAAATTTTCAAATATAAAGAAATTTTTTTATCTTTATTTTATGTAAAAGTAGAAACAAAAAAGTGGAGGCGTAGTTTTAAACTTATTAAAGCATAATTTGGTTATGTAATAATTATATTTTGGTATGTCTACGCGCGCACACACACACACACACACACACACACACACACACACATACATATATATATATATATATATATAAGCATTATCCATATTTAAGAATAAATCAAGTCAAGTGATGATATCTCTCTCTCTCTCTCTCTCTATATATATATATATACATATATATATTTACACTCTTTATGTATGCATCAGGATCAAAATGTTTCTCTCCCCAGCCCACATTTTGGATCGCTATAGTATCTGTGAATTCTGAAAAGACACACATACACACAAACACACACACACATATTGCATTATATATACTTTCTATTGCTTTGACACATTTTCTTTGTTTAAGATATTAACAAAAATTGCATATATTAAAACGAATGTTGGTAACTCTGAAAAAAAAGAAGACCCTTGAATGATAATTGTTTGATTAGCAAAATCGGTCACATTTCTTGTCAACCAAATATTGATTTATCTAAAAGCGTCTTTTTTCAAGTTACCTTCATGCTTTCAAAGTATGTTACTACTTTTAGAGTACAACATTTTTTTCTTTTGAAGGTGAACCTTTTTAAAGTTTTGTACCTGTGATGTTCAATTCTTTCAACTTTCTTTATCTCTCTCTTTTTTTTCTTCCCTTTTCCTAAAACATTTCAACTGATTTTGTCCTTTGACCTTCTTCAGGTCTGTTGGCTGAATTGTATTGTGTAATACAACACAGTGAACAAACAATGGACTCAACACCTGACAAATTCCACCTTATGAAGGTCAGAGAAAATAAACCCAGTGAAACAAAGAGAGAGAAAGAGAAATACCAGGGAAGAGTTTTCTCTTCTCCAAATGCTATAACCCTCAGGACATAGACAATTTTGCCTTTCCACACATCTCTTTTTCTTTATTATCTGTGAATTGCCATGCATTCTTGGGAAATACTAATTTCTTATTGCCTTCTCCACAGTTTGAAATTAAGTTTTCCTTCTCCTAGACTGATTACTATACAAGGCTAGAGAGGCCAGTCTACTCTGGGAGAAGAAAAGATGGATTCATGCTTTTCACAGAAAGCTCTACCTGAATTTGAACTTGGTTCGCTGATTTTACTTTCCATACTAATATCCAATACACACCCATGAGGAGAGTAGCTTAAAAACTAAATTGAATATTAACAAATCCTTTCACAACTTAAGGCAAAAAAAATAAATAAATAAACAAACTTAAACATGAGACAAAAAAATAAATTTTTATTTGTTAGACTAAGAATTATTTCATGCCAATATTCATATTAATTTTGTCATTGTTTATAAATCTTGCATCTTCTATATGCTGTGTCCCTTCAGGAAGTTGGAGATCATGGCTTTCCACAATTTCCTGTCTTGTGTAGCTCTGCATTCATTATAATGAATGATATATTTCCTAGACAATTTTATAATGTTTAACAATGATTTCTGATCTTAATTATTTGATATTAATGAAAAGAGTTCTCCTTAAAATTTGTAAGTTGTATATAAACTAAGATCTTGTATTTGTATTTTCCTTTCTTCTTTACTTGAAGGATTAATATTACATTAAAACAAGCCATGTCAATTGATTCTACTGGGTGTGGAAATAAAATATATCTGATTAAATATTTTACTATATTTTACATTCCTTATGCCTTATTCTTTAATCAGTATATCGTGGTAAATTCATAAAATTCCTTTTTGTTGATTATTTATATAAATCTTTACAATTACACTATTCTAATTTTCCTTGAGGGTCTTATTTAACAATTATAAGTTTGGAATTTTATTATTGAAGAAGTATTTCCAAATATTATTAATTTTTTATGAGTATTTCATTTTAATTTCAATTGCTTATTGCAACTACTCAGATCATCAATCTAGTCATTAGTAATAATATCTTCAGTTTAATTATTTGTTGAAATTTTCTAATACTGAAAGGGGAAAATGAAAATCAGGAGAAAAATTTAATAAGTAAAAATTTATATTTGAAAACATTTTTTGACATGGTGTAAATTGTATTTTTAAAAGAACACAAATATTTACTTTTTGTAGTAAAAAACAAACTTGATATTTAAATATATATATGTCTATCTAATATCCCTCGATTATTTATCCATCTATCTAATATCAATCTGTCTAATATCTATTTATCAAATATCAATCATCTATTTATCTCTCTCTTTCTCTATCAGCTATCTATCTATCTATCTATCTATCTATCTATCTATCTATCTATCTATCTATCTATCTATCTATCTATCTACCTACCTACTTAGCTACCTACTCTATAAATGCAGTATACAGTATATTGTGTGTGTTGAAAAGTTTTGGGCCCAACTCACTTTCCAGATAACCAAACTTATATTAAGTTTATATTTTTTATTTTATTCTATTTTTAAGTACTTTTTGGTCAGGCCAATAACTTTTCAGCATTCCCTTAAGTTATATATCCTTTTGATTTGAAGCTTTTTTCTAATAATGAGAGCAAAGAGATGTAAGTAGGTTGAGAGATATTGGTAGGTGGATGTGTGCAAATAGGGAAAGATAGATAATTGTGTGCAGAGAGAATGTGAGAAAGGTAGTTACTTTGCATATAATAACTAAATTATTATATGCAAAAACTAGAGTAGAGAGAAATGTAGGTGCATGTCGAGCGTGAGAAAGGTGCATGGAAAAAGATACCTAAAAAATTATAGACGTGAGCAGGCAGTAATAGATAGGTAGAAAGATATACTATTATTAGTAGAGATAGAACGATAAGAAGACTGATGGGTAAAAATGATAAATAAATGGGCAGAATCAGATAGAGAGAAATTAAATACGACCAGACCAAGAGAAAGAGAGAAAAGAGAAGGATTGATGGAAGTAGAGAGACTGCGAAAGATAAAAAGGTAGAACCTAAAGAGAGTACGTGAAGCATGCACTAAGATTATTAGATTGAATCTCAGAATCTAGTATGATTGCAAAATGTAGAAAGAAAACCAAAAGAGAGGTGGAAGCAGACCAAGAAAATAAGGAGAAATAAAAAGCAAGAGGTATGTGTGTGTGTGTGAGAGAGAGAGAGAGAGGGAACAGGAATGTAGATGAAAAAGGGATAGATTAGGAAGAAAGGAGAGGGGAAAAAGTAGGAAGGTGAATGTAAAACAAGTACTAACGATAGGAAGACGTGTGTGTGTGAGTGAGAAAGAGAGAGAGAGAAGGAGATAGAGATTGAGGGAACAGGAATGTAGATGAAAAAGGGATAGATTAGAAAGAAAGAAGAGGGGAAAGAGTAGAAAGGTGAATGTAAAACAAGTACTAACGATAAGAAGACGTGTGTGTGTGTGTGTGTGTGTGTGCGTGTGCGTGTGTGTGAGAGAGAGAGAGAGAGAGATCGCGCGAAATCAAAGACTTGCCCGCCTTTTATATCTCATTTAGTTAATGGTAATTTGTATGTTTGTTGCATTTTATATTTATTCACAAAACCATTTTTTCTTTCTTTTAAATTCCCTAACAAAATCGAATGCATTAATTACTACAAAGTTCCTCGTTACGCTCTCTTTTCTTGTATTTATATTACTTTTCTATGGCATTTATTTAACTGGAGCACACGAAAGTCGCACAACTGAGTCACAAAGGACTAGTTAATACTAAATGGAATAAAGTGTACGGACATAGATGGAATTGGAAGAGGAAGACGAATAGAATATCAAGCGAACTCTCTCTGTGTGTATGCGTATCGTATATATATATATATATATATACATGTACGTGTGTGTGTGTGAAAAGAAGGGGAATGTTTTCTCTTGGCCAAGTGCAAGTCATGTGAACTGCTGTGAAAATGTCCCTTTCTTTTTCATCCAATTCGTTTGGTCTCATTTATCATAAAAGTGTCGTGGATATTATTAATTTTTTAATATTTTATTTGGTAAATTAACTGAAGATGTTTTTTTTTTTTCATTCATTCGTTTTTTTTGTCTTAGATTTTGAAACGAATCATTTACTTTTTTCTCTATTAAGCCTGACAAACATGGTTTACAAATAAAAATTAGAAAAAAAAATTACTAAATCTTTTTTTTTTATATATCTGGTGTATTGTATGATTTTTTTTATTAGGAAAATCCATTATTCTAATGTATTTTTAAATAGAAAAAGTAAAAAAAAGTCTTTCTTTTCTCAACAGCCATATTCTCACGCGAACGCGCGTAGGTGTTTAGTCTAAACAGTTTAGATTTTTTATTTATTTAGAAGACGTCATGGATGCCTGTTATAAATTACAGTTTATAGTTTTAAATTATTATAAGAATCGTTAATAAATTTTTCAAATTTAATTTGTCGCGCCAGGTGTATAAATTTTTCGGAACACGACAAGGTAAGTAATAATACTACTATTAAATTATAAATACTAAAAATAGCAATACTAAAAATCCTAAAGTTAAAGCAGGTTTCAGTAGCTGCGCCCGTAAAGTAGAAAATTACTGAAAGTTTAGCGGAGGATTATTTGAAAAAGTGCGACTTGATTAATTTTAATTCCAGCAAGAGAATTTTTTTTTTATGGTCTTTTAATTTTTTAATAAGCAAATGACATAGGCTATGCATTCATTTTGATGATTGTCATTGGACTACTTTCCTTTTTCCTAACATTTTCCTCTATTGTTGCTGCCCTTTCTTTATGTCTGTGGCTGGTTTCTGTCTGGCGCGTGCACACACACACACAAAGAATCTATAAGCAAGAGCATTTTTATTTTATATATTAAAAAAACTATTTTAAATGAATAATCCGTTTCAAAAGAATACATAAATTGAAACAACTTACCAGTGCTATTATTTGATTGACACAACTTACCTGTGCTATTTTAATTAATAATTGTGTTTGTTGAGTTTGACTCCTTAATTCTTCCAGTTCATCAATTTTATCTTTTTTTAGTGTGTTCTTGACTTGTCAATTTATTAAAGATAAAATTTATCTTACACAAACAAAAATATTCTTACGAACATTAAATCTGATTTAACAAAAATTATGAAAAGCGGAAAGAACTTAAGATTAAGAAGTCAGTTTTGGAGGCTTGCCCTCATGAAGTATTGTAAATTTATTCAAATTTGTGTGTATTGGGTTGGCTGGGGATAAATTACCCCCACACACACACCGCCAAAAAAGTTTTTAGCAAAATAGTCTAACTTTAAAATTAAGGACTATTAATTAACTTGAATACAGATTTTGATTTGTTGACCATATCTCTGGGTGCTTGTTCAACTAAATATGGATTTTTTTCAAGAAGAAATAAGTAGATTGATAGAAGAATATGAATTATTTTTATTTAGTTTATATTTTTTTAACTATTTAGTTCAAGCAAGCCCTATTAAATGATTTATTTTATTTGGTCAAGAGGATAAAGTAATTCTGGAAAAAAAAAGAGTTGGTAGGTAGTGGAAGTATTGAGTAAGTCAACTGGGTACCACTTGTTTGAACTGTTACCCTTAGGATGATGTTTTAGTTGTAGGACAAAGTGCTTGAGGGACAGCTTTTGTCCTTGGGCCCTACGTAAAATGAACACTGCTGCACAATGCCAATTTTCAATTTGAAATGTTATTACATTTCTTCATTTGATAGTGTGCGTGTGTGTTGGTGCACCTGGGGGCTGTCCAATTTCATTGTGCATTGCACAGTGACATGAAAAATATATATATATATATATATATATATATAAAAAGGCTTAAACACTAATATTCCATGGTCATAATTTATTCCATTGGAATCGTAAATACAATCCAATTCATCAGACCTACAAATTCATCCTTACTTTGTCCTGGACATTGAGTTCTACCTGGATTCTATCCTCTTGAATTATTTTTTTATACATACATACATACATATATATATATATATATATATATATATATATATGCATGTATGTATGTATATATATATTTTATATATTTTAGATATATGATTGCATATGTATGTGTATATTAACCACTAATATTATCAATTATCTATCTATCTATCTATCTATCTATCTATCTATATATATATATATATATATATATATATATATATATATATATATATAATCAATTCAGCCCAGGTAAGACAATAATGCAACTGATGAAAGGGGCCAATGGGAAGTGAAAGAGAATGAAAAGACTTTAGAAGGAAATGGAAACACAATATTAAACAGGAAACAAGGGATAAGCCTCTACTCCTGTTTAAAAGACTTTTGAACCTTTTGTATGCTTCTGTTCTTAAAAGCTATAATTTAAAAAAAATGATTATTGAAACCATGTTACAGGCCATAAATTTAATCTTACCTTTTGGAAGATGACATTAAAAAATCAAATAAAAAAAATATAACAACAATGATTCACTCCAAATGAAATGTGCTGACAATTTGTATTCAATGCAATAAATATTTTCTGAAGAATATGTAGAAATCATGAAATCATACTTCATTCATAAAATAAAAATAACCCGTCTATTGTGTGTGTGTGTGTGTGTAGTTTTATCAGTTGTCTATTGTGTGTATATGTGTGTTTTTATTTATAATCTCTGAATTGCTAATTGCCATGACTTCTTGGGAAAGGTTCTATAGTGGTTTACCAATGCCTTCTCCATTTTTTGAATTTGAAGTAGATATTCTCTTAGACTGGCTGCCATCTAAAACTAGAAATCCCAATATATCATTCTATTCAACCTAGTGGCAGAAGAGATGGATGCATGCATTTCCCAAGGGAATTTGTATGAAAGTGAATGCAACAAACTATGCTGGAATTTGAACTCTGCTCACTGATTTCATTTTCTCACTATGTCAATAACAATTACTCTATCTGTAAACTTGACCTGTCATGTTTTGTCAAAAAAAAAAAATCTCTTTGGTCATATTTATAAACTAATTGTACTTAAATATGCAATTTTTTGTTCCCAACAACCACCACACATGACATCACCATATACTATTTCAAACATTCAGCTTTCTAAAGAATACTAGGTTTTCAACAAAGGAATCTTGTTTACCACATTAATTTTTGAAAATGACTGAGATGGTCAAAAGTACTTGAACACAAACATGAACTTTGAAGAGTTTATCCCCAATTTTGCTTCCAATAAACAAAACCTTACTTGGAAAATGGTGAAAATACAATTAAAAATTAAACAGACTTAGTCAGTTGTTTTTACTCAAATTTGTTTGGGTGAATACTTGCTGCTTATAAATATGCTTTATTCAAATATGCAATTTTGTATAAGATCTAAAAAAAAATTGTCTTAGAACTTTGTAGTTAATATTTTCATATGACTGTTTATATTAACATCTACAAAAACATTAGGTGTGTTTATGTATAAAAGGTTCTTGTGAAAAACTAGTTTTCAACTGTGTAATCAGTCTAGTTTTAAAAAAATGTTGGAAAATTTTGCACATATATAATATGTGATTAAAGGTAACAGTAGATATTGTTTTCTAAAGTCATGAAATGAAATATTTTTATTGTTCCACATATTTTTTTTACACTATTCTCTTCATTTTTGTGCGTTTTTTTTTTAAAACATTCCAAAAGATTTGGACTTCAAACTATATGTTGTATCTGGTGGTTTTCAGAAATATCTTAGTGCTTTTTTAAAAAAAAAAAATAAATTTTTATCCCAACTGGAATACCACAGTTCAACAGAATCACATGACCAAATGTTAAGGTCTCATGTTAACATTAGAACAGACAAAATTGGAATCAGATCCCTTCTGAAATGTATTAAAAACAGATAAAAGGTGAAGATAACCGAAAAATGTCTGAAATAATATGGCTAATCAATAATCAGCCTGGACCTTGTCAAAGGATTATTAATGACTTTTTTGCTTCTACTGTCTGGGCATGTAAAGTTATGGGAGAATGGTTTTCCTAAATGTTTACTAACTCATTTTTCAGGTGATGAAATGGCAGACATGGAAATGTAAATTCATGACTTTTACAAACATGTTAGTAAAATGTGAATGCGTTTGCCTCAAATAAATACAGATATTCACTTATATAGCCAATGCATCTACCAATCAATTTTTGATAATGCTTGAGTTTAGAGACAGAAAGACAGATATAAAGGAGCAGAGATATAGATAGACAGTTATGAAGAGAGAGGCACAGATGTTTACAGGCAGAGAGATATAGAGGGAAATGTGCAGATTGATATGTGTGTGTGTGTGTGCATATATATATGTGTGTGTGTGTGTGTGTGTGTGTGAACACTACATGGTGAGTGTCAGTTTCATGTGTCCACACCAAGTAAATGCATGGTCTTAAGATTATGTTGCGGTAGGAAAATGACAGCCACTGTACATACAGTGTTGATTTCTATGGCTACACAATTATCTATGTCTATAAACACTTTCGCTTATAAATATATAAAAATCATAATTTTCCCTTATAAATATATGAAAATTTTTATTATATATATATATATACACACACACACAGACACACACATATACATACATATACACACACACGTTGTATATGTATATAACTTATAACTGTAAACATTAGTGGATGTACACTAAATTTAAAGTAATAAATAATTTTGGATTATAAATAAAAATCTGTTAATTCTTTAGAAATTATATATCTGTCAATCTATCTGAGAGAAAGAAAGGAGATGAAGATATGTATGAAAATGTATATATATAGAGATATATAGAAGGATCTATCTATAGATACATGTCCATATATATAAATTAGAAAGAGATATAGATAGATAAAAATAAAGATAAATTTTTATAAGTGTTGTTTTTTTGGCTTATACTCTTTGAAATTCATTGATAAATAGGAATTTAATGAGTTTATACCCAGTCATATTTAAAAGTTGGGGCAAATTGGACAGTGCATATGAACTAAAATGCATGGATCTTTTTTTGCTATATGTTTGTAAGATTACTGGATACATTCTCAGAGAGAGACAGAATAGTTACTAAGATGTTATTTACTTTTATGGTCAAATTCCCCCAAGTTTTGGGTAATCTCTCTCTGTCTCTCACATACATATATCATGTTACATAAAGGAATATTCAATGTATAATGGATTGGTATATTATATCAATAATATATATATATATATATATATATATATATATATATATATATATATATATATATACACACACACACACAAATACAAATAGTAAGAATTAAAGTTAAAACTCAAAATAAGCTAAAAGCTTAAAATATAAAATAAACTAAGGTTTCAAAGGCAAAACTGACAGAGCCTAAATATAATCTGCCTGATGATTGCCATTACATGAAACTCTGAGTAGCAGATTTGGTATTATTATTATTATCATCATCATTATTATTATTATTATATATATATATATATTAATGTGTGATATATTGGTATATTATATTTTTTGTGAATCAATACTTATATACATAATTTGGTAAATTTTTTATTGAATAAACTATTAGCCTGTTTGTATCTCCCTTTTTTCCACTCTTACTGTCAGCCTGTCATTGGCATTTCTCTCCTCTCTCTCTCTCTCTTTTCTCTCTCTTGTGCATGCCTAGTCCTTCAACACCTCAACATTTCTCTCTCTCTTTGCAACTCCTCTTGTGTATTTTTATTTCTCTCTCTCTTTCTTAATTGCATCTTTCTCTCTTGTATTTATGATCAACTGATATTCTCATTGTAGAGAAATGCAAGTGGTTTGTTCTTGTTCAATTTTGCTGAGTCAGAAAAATAAAGTTTCTTGGAAGAAATAATTTTTCAAAAATTTATTGATTTATTCCAGATATGTGCGTCTGACACTTTTTCAAAACTTTTCTCTCTACCTACTTTCTCTCTTAATATTTTATTTGTACTTTCCTTGTCTTAAAATTGGATATTGTATTTATTGGTATTATAAAAAATAAATGACAAATTTTGTCCCATAACAGATGTTACACATAGTGTCTCAAATATCTATGCAAATGGACAATTATTATGGGACAGCACATATGTAGGTAGTGTAATGATTATCAGTGAAGAAAGTGGGGTTGGTGAGCCAAGTTCAAATTCTAGCCTCGTCTCTTGTATTCACTTTTGCATTATTGCTTATGGGAAGGCATGATCAAACTTTTCTAATCCCAGCTATGGGTTAAATAACAGGGTTCTTTCATTTTGGATGGCATCCAGTCTAGAAGAGTCTGAATTCAAATTATGGAGAAGGCAATGGGAAACCACTCCATTATGTTTATCAAGACTTTTGGGGAATTGACAGATGTTAAAGAAAAGAAGCCCTGGAGAGCCATGATTTTATAAGTCTTGAAGGGACATGGAATTTTAAAAAAAGAATTATTTGTTGGAGGTGACATTATTTTTTAATCTGTTAATTAGAATATAAGAAATTGAGAAATAGACTGAATGATTTAAGTTATTGATAATGATTCAACTTAGCTAAGTATGGCACAAGGCCATTAGGGAATACTAGGAATATTGTATCAGTTTTCCTACTAGGATAGGTGAACTAGTTTAGAAAATTGGCAATTGAAAAAATTTTTTTTTTTAAACCTGATTTAAACACTACCTGCCAACATAAATAGAGAAATTTGTAATTATCTCAGCTAGGCAGGCACTTGTGACTGATGTTAATATAGAAAATAAGGAAGGTATAGGTTATACCAAACTAGAAATATCCATTTCACAGCTTTTCTATTTTAATTTTCTGATGAATCTTTATTAAGTTAATGATTGAATAAACTCATGGTGAGTTCTAGGACAATAAAATATCTGTAGAAATTCTATTGCATCGTTAAATATTTGAGCTTACCAACTTTACAAAATATTACAACAGTCATAAATATGAATGCTGGTCATTATTAAAAGAAGAAATAAAAAAAGATTTAAAATTGACAACTTTTTTCCATTTCACTGAAGCAGGCATTAAACACTTCTATCTTCCTTCTTTTCTTTTATTTTCTCACTGAAACCAAGTAGTGTCTCTGTTATGTCTTTCCACACAATGAAAATGAAGCATTGTCAGCGTGTAACATACATAACAAAAAAAGAAACAAGCAGAATTATGAGATATTCCTTGAATTTAATGTTTGGTGGTGTGTAGTTGTTAGGAGTTATCTTAAAAACAAAAAAAAAAACCCTAATACACTTGATTATTTTAAAATGAAACAAGGTGATAATAGAAAAACATGATTAGCAGTTGATTAACGAAAGAATCATAACTGACTTTTGTTAATGTTTCAGTGCATATGTAGATCAATTTTAGAACATTTTAAGTAGCAATGAGGGTCTACTTTTTCTATTTATGGGAGTACAGAAATGACAAAAATAAAAACCTGATAAAAAAGAAAAAATGGA